TTGTGTGTGTTAGCTGGCAGATGCTCTCCAGGATGCCAACCAGGCTCGCTCCGAGCTCAACCTGCAGCAGAAATTGCGTGCAGATGCTCAGCTGAGGGTGGAGGAGCTGGAGGAGAGTGTGTTAGAGAAAGACCAGGAGCTGCTGCGCCTCACACAGATCACCAGCAGACTGCAGGGAGAGGTACACACACACACACACACACACACACAAACACACACACACACACACACACACACACACACACACACACACACACACACACATAAGTACACTACCTGACAAAAGCCTTGTGCTGGATCCCAGTTGTAAGAGCAACAAATAAAAACTTGACTAAGTGCTCTTTAGTTATGCTTGATTGATTGTATAATTTTGTATTGTTTTTATTGTGACCAATTTAATATCTGTCAAGAGACAATAAATGAAAAATGGATTTTTGGCCAAATCTGGTGCATTTGCATAATTAATGTACACTGTCTCTGCCAAATAAACCAATCAAAACAATTAACAGAAGTTTCTACTTGAATAAATGAAGTTGTTCTGTGAATATCTGAATCCTAATACTCAGATCTGCTGTGTGTGCAGGTGTCTGATAAGCTCAGTGATAGAGAGCAGACTCTAGAGGAGGAGATCCAGCTGCGGGAGCGAGTGCAGCTTCAGTGTAAGCAGGCGGAGAGAACCGTGGAGGATCTGCGCATGGAGCTGCAGACGCTCAGCCAGAGCAGAGACGAGCTCGCCAAACAGCTCAAACTCGCACAGGTACACACACACAGACACACACACACACACATCTGCTTCTGAATAAATGCTGACAGGAGTGTGTATGTGTGTTTCAGGAGAACATCATCGATCTGGAGGGAGATCTGGAGGAGCTGCATGAGAACGAGCAGAGATGGGCTGCCAAACACAAGAGAGCCCTCGATCAGGTCTGATTAACAGTGGAGAAATTAAAGCATAGAAAAGAAATATTCGAGCATTTACTACTGTAGATCAGTCCTTGTGAAACTAGACGTGCTTGTTAAAGAGAATAATGTCTGAATATGTGTGTGTGTTTCTCAGTCTGAGCAGCTGCAGATGAAACTCATCCAGGAGAAAGATCTGAATGACCAGCTGGAGTGTGACAAGGCCATCCTGGAGAGACAGGTCTGACTTATTGAATATGATGATGAGGAGTTTCTCTTATGATAAATAAAGAAGATGATGATGCTGATGATGATGATGATGATGATGATGATGATGATGTTTTCAGCTGAGAGATCTGCGCAGTGAGGTGGAGGAACTGCAGAACAACAGAGTCGAGGTCGATTCCATCACTAGAGCTGAAATCAAAGCTAAAGAACTGGAGAACACACTGCGGGCAGAGGAGAGGTCAGACACACACACACACACACACACACATTTTTGAAACAATATACAACTTGAACAAAGTCAGAAGATTTCCTCCCTCTTGAGAACCCTTTAGTTTTGTGAAAGAACCCAGACGTTTTGGGTAAGAAGCTGTCAGTTTTTGGAGCGATCACAGCAGTTTGAGGGAGAGAGCCAAAGGGTTTTGGAGAGAACAGAAATGTTTGGGTAAAGAACCCATTAGTTTTTGGAGAGAACCCAAGAATTTGTGGAAGAACCCATTAGTATGTGGAAAGAACCCAACAATTTGAGGACAGAAAATCCATCAGTTTTAGGAAAGAACCCATTAGTTTTAAGAGAGAACACAAAAGAGAAGCCAACAGTTTGATGAAGAAAACGCAACATTTTTGAAGGGAACCCAACCGTTTAAGGGAGAGAACTCAACAATTTGAAGCAAAGCCAATAGTTTAGTAATAGTTTTTATAGTTTTTAAAAATATTTTTAAAGAGAATCCAACCGTTTGGTGGAGAGAACAGAACCCAACAATTTGAGGAAGAGAACCCAACCGTTTTAAAGAGAACCCACTATTTTTAAAGAGAACCCAACAGTTTGAGAGAGAAAACACAAGAACTTGATGAAAAGAAGAGAACCCAACTTTTTGAAAGAGAACCCAACAGTTTGAGGGAGAAAACCCAACAATTTGAGAAAGAGAACCCAACCGTTTGGTGTAGAGAAATGAACCCAACAGTTTTAAAAAGAACCAAACAGTTTGAGGGAGAGAACCCAACAATTTTAAAGAGAACCCAACAGTTTGAGGGAGAGAACCCAACATTTTGGTGTAGAGAAATGAACCCAACAGTTTTAAAGAGAACCCAACAGTTTGAGAGAGAGAACCCAACAGTTTGAGGGAGATAACCCAACAGTTTTAAAGAGAACCCAACAGCTTGAGGGAGAGAACCCAACCGTTTGAGGGAGAGAACCCAACCGTTTGGTGTAGAGAATGAACCCAACAGTTTTAAAAAGAATCCAACAGTTTGAGGGAGAGAACCCAACAGTTTTAAAGAGAACCCAACAGCTTGAGGGAGAGAACCCAACAGTTTTAAAGAGAACCCAACAGCTTGAGGGAGAGAACCCAACCGTTTGGTGTAGATAAATGAACCCAACAGTTTTAAAAAGAATCCAACAGTTTGAGGGAGAGAACCCAACAGTTTTAAAGAGAACCCAACAGTTTTAAAGAGAACCCAACGGTTTGAGGGAGAGAACCCAACGGTTTTAAAGAGAACCCAACAGTTTTAAAGAGAACCCAACAGTTTGAGGGAGAGAACCCAACAGTTTTAAAGAGAAGAGAACCCAACAGTTTTAAAGAGAACCCAACAGTTTGAGGGAGAGAACCCAACGGTTTGAGGGAGAGAACCCAACCGTTTGGTGTAGATAAATGAACCCAACAGTTTTAAAAAGAATCCAACAGTTTGAGGGAGAGAACCCAACAGTTTTAAAGAGAACCCAACAGTTTTAAAGAGAACCCAACAGTTTGAGGGAGAGAACCCAACGGTTTTAAAGAGAACCCAACAGTTTGAGGGAGAGAAACCCAACAGTTTGGTGTAGA